AGCAATTTGGGCATCCACATGCTTCCTGTGTAAATGTGCTCAGCTAGAATTTCTGCAGAACACTGTCCTCTTTAATTTTGTTTCACAATAAATGTGCTCAACTTGTGAAAAAGAGGTTCTCTCACAGTGTTGGCAAGGCTGAGAACTGGACATTTGTGTTTTTCCATAGCCTCCTTGACAGACAGTGTGTTCAGGGAGACCCATATTTCTCACAGCGCACAAATACACCATGCAAAGAAATAAGAAAACATGGGAGGGAGAGGATCCTGTAAACCCAACCATTGTCACAGGATACAGACTTTTTGTGTATTAGACAGCTCCCCATCACTGCAGTGTAGAAAGCATTTGATTGTTCTTTGTCTTGTCATGACAAATCTCTTTTAACAAGTTTTCCCTAGCCCTGAGTTTATATGGTTTTGTTTAAGAGTTTCACATCGTGTGGATAAGGATCTTGAAATGAAGCAGTCAAACTCTGCAGCCCAACAGCAACCTCCTTCTCACCTTGCCATGTTCTCTATTGTAAACCCTTTGTCATTTCACATCATTTTGGAAAGTAGCAGACAGCCCAGAGTTTGGTAGCCAGAACTGCAGGGTAGATAATATGGCTGGTATTACAGAGGCTATGCAGCATGCTCAGAACTCTAGATGACTCTTGGGTGAAGAATGAATTTAAGATACGCTCCCACTGTTACAGTGAGGGGACTAGCAAAGGAAGGGTAGGGTATTGGAAATTTTCCCTGTTGCAGATTTCTACCGAGCATAATCTGCAGTTCAAAACCACGCCAAGTTCCTTTAACAGGCAATGGAAGATTTGCCCAAGTATGGAATGAATAAGGCCTTCAGCAGCCGGCCACATGACTGATTCTGAAGGGGTTAAAAAGGAAGGAGATGTTGCAAATTTTAAGACAGAAAGATCTGTTAGCACAGTTGGTATCTGGTTTAGATAGTTCCCTGTGGTTCACTACTACAAACTACTGGCTTCTCACAACAGTGATGGGAAGCTGCCCTCATAGGCATATTGATCTTACTGACTGCAGCAATTTTTGCATCTCTCTGATTTCAGCACGTTAGTTACTGCACCTTTCTGTTTTCACGCCTCTTAATGAATTCCCTTCTCTTCACAGACAGTCTAGGAGGCCTCTAAATCTTTCCACAATGTTTGCAGAGCCCCTTTTAGGATTTAACCTCAGCTCATTTATTTGCAGACTCCTGCCACATTCCTGTTGATGTTGAAATCAAGTTATATGCAATGGTCAAGAATTTATGTCTGAATCACCCTGTCTTTTTGCAGTTTTCACTTCCGAACTGAGGGTGGAACTGTGAAAAGTAACTCCGAGTCTCCCTTCTCAACTGCTACTGAGAATAAGGCTTCACTGGCCCCTTCATCACCGTCTGCTACTTCTGTCACCATGGCAAGTGCTCCTGCCCTCGATGTGCCCACTCCAAGTCCAGCTACTGTGCCCTCTGCCCCCACACTGCTAGCTTGGAAGCAGCTGGCTTCAACCATACCCCAGATGCCTCAGATCCCAGCATCAGTGCCTAACCTGGCAACTTCACCCTTGGCAACGACTTCCCTGGAGAATGCCAAGCCTCAGGTCAAACCCGGATTTCTCCAGTTCCAGGAGAAGTAAGTTGTAGATGCTGCTTGCCTCCTTGTGTCCTCTCCTGCCTTGCAATCCCCTCTTTACCGCTCCTCAGAACTGTAGTACTACATCTATATTCGTCCACTGAGAGACCTTCTGTCTAGAAAGTACTCTGGGCTTTATCTCACAGAAAATTTACTTCTATGAAGTCTAGAAAATATCTTCAGTTATCCTAGGAAAAAACCAAGATTTTTGAGTATATCTGGAGGCACTTTTAGGTATGAGTTTCGAGGACAAATAAAATTGCTGACATTTCACCGAAGCATTTTTTTATACCTCATGAGAGGTGTACAGAAATACATGCGTCTTTGCTGTATTTTTGACCCTGAAGGCTACAGAGGAAGCATAGCATCTTTAAAGTTTTCAGCATGACGCCTGACTAGCCCACCTCCAGATCTTGCTGCAAGTCTGAGACTTGCCATGAGTTTCTGTAGTTGAGCAAAAATCAGTGGGCGACTGAGTGCTCAGTCATGCAAAGGTGAGGTGTTACTGCAGCAAAGTACACGGAACGAACTAAGAGTAGATGTTTACAGGTTGCTGAAAAGGAAGCTTGCTGGATTTCTCCTGGATTTGTCCCCAGTAAGCTCTATGGCCTTTTCCTAGGAATGCCATCTGTAACTCAGTATAATACCGCTTCATTTTTTATTTTTTTTTTCAGTGAAGAAGTCTGGGGGTCAGATAGTGGAGGGGGCACAAGTGCTTGGACTCTGCCTTACCAGGAATGGGTCTCTCAGCAGCTCAAGGAATAGGAAGCAATTCTGTCTCACTTCAGATTTCTCAAAGTTCTGCTGTCCTGGCTGAACTTCTGTACAAGTGTAATGAGTCTCCTTAAATTCTGTGCCTCTGGTTTTGTAGTGTTAGTTTACAGAGTAATTCACAATGGAAGTGTCTGGCAGAAGGCAACATAACCTTGCTGAACTTCTTTTAAAACATTGAAGTGTTGCTGCGATGATGGTGTTATTTCTGTCACATAGACAGAAAGAGGCACCGAAGTTACGTAGTTTACAGGGGGACACAGGAGTCCGGGTTCAGGTTAGGCATCACAGCTTAGTTATTCAGGCTGGTGGAGTATCAGTCTCTGGGTCGTATATTGACAGTCATTTGTCTGCTTTCAAAGAAGTGTATTAATTCTCTTTCACGTATCTGAGTGGGTATCATTGGGTACAGTGCTTGGGTCCAATGTTCAGCTACCTCCGATCTGACCTCTGTTTGTGCAGCCAGAAATCCATGGAGTGGGTCAGGGGAGTAAGGTACTAAAACCATTTAGCTGATTAAACAGGCCGCTGCCGATTTTGTCTAATCAAGGGAAGCCCTGGCATCTTGCAGTGTGCATGCCCAAGAGTTTCATTTCAGTTACACAAAATTGAGATGGGAAAAACTATCTGAATCCATTGAGGTAAGTACAGGCAGAAAGGGAGAAACAGCATCTATCCAGATCTTGAGAGAGAGCTTTAAATTGGAAGTGTGGCCCTCAAAGACTACAGAACCCACCATGCATTGCTGTATTTTAATAATCTTAATCAAGAAAGTGCACTAGCTTGGTGGAATTGCAGTAGTGTTGCCAGCATCAATTTTACTAAAGAGGAAGGTGGCTATGGGAAATCTGTAGGCCATGTTTGGAACAGAGGCTTCAGCTGGGCTCCCCTTGAATTAAATTTTGGCAAACAAACAAATGTGTGAAATGAGTGAAGGTGATGATTGGGTTTTGGATGTATTCCAGTGATCCCTGCCTGGCAACGGACTGCAAGTACGCCAACAAATTCCACTTCCACTGTCTCTTTGGGAACTGCAAGTATGTGTGCAAAACCTCTGGCAAAGCAGAATCCCACTGCCTGGACCACATCAACCCCAACAATAATTTGGTGAATGTGCGAGACCAGTTTGCTTACTATTCGCTGCAGTGTCTCTGTCCGAACCAGGTAAGAGCAATTCAAAAGCAGTGTTCTGGCCTGCGTATGTGTGCAGGAGAAGAAGAATGGGAAAGAGCAAGTAGACTACCCAGTAGGAAGTGAGGCTGAGTGTTTCATTTCTGGTCTAACTACAGAATCATGGAAGGGTCTTAATTATGTGGTCTAGCGAAATGTTTGGTTTCCATCAAATTGAAAATGGCACTGCTTTTATGTTTCTTTGACTTGGGAGAAGTGGACAAGGCAACTAGAACTATCTAAGAGGCACAAGGTGAAATACAATAAAAATCTGTGATGAACACCGGGGAAAGCCACAAGTTAGGTCTGGGATATTTCAGTGTAGAATAGTGCAATACAGAATATATGACAGCAATACAAAATACATGACAGGGAACAAGTTTGCACTGCAGCTTGTGGAAGATAAAATGGATGGGATCTAGAGTATCGGTTCAGGCCTCTCTCTCATGTCTCGGAGGGACAGCATTAGTAGCGGGCAGATGAGAGTGCATTTGTTTTAGATATGCTTAAAGCAACCTGCCTGTTTGCTCCCCTCTAGCACTGTGAATTCAGGATGCGAGGGCATTACCACTGTCTTCGTCCTGGCTGCTACTTTGTGACTAACATCACCACCAAGCTGCCCTGGCATGTGAAAAAACATGAGAAGGCAGAGAGAAGGGCAGCCAATGGCTTCAAGTATTTTACCAAGCGAGAGGAGTGTGGCAGACTAGGTGAGTTTTCTTCTCTTTCCCCTGTCACCTTTCTCATGTGGTCTGTCCTACGTCCGGGCTAATAATGTCGTGAGTTAGAGCCTGCGAGTTATGCTTAAGATGTATTTGGTCATTAAATCACTAAACAAGAAATGGAACAAAACAGAAAGCAGTTCCTGATCTGCCTGAGTTAAGCGTGTTTTCCCAAATAGACCCGAGTTAAATGGATAGAAACTGTAATATAGAGGATTTTATATAGATATATTTGTCTGGAGATACAGCTTCCCCTTTGTTTTTCCTTTTTATCTAATTGTCAAGGCCTTTTGTTTGTTTGGTTTTTTGTACTTTGTAGTCTTTTGGCCCTACTACTTGTCTTGGGTGGAGTTTAAGGGTGCTTTTAGGAGGGAAGAAAAAAAAAAAAAGCATAGGGAAAATCCCGTTCTGATGAGTGCCTTGTGTGAAAGTCTTCCTGTATCAAGGAAGTTGCTGCTTTGCCCGATTCCAGGCAGCTTCAAATGAAAAAAAATTTTTTTTTTTTGCCATTGCCAGTGCGGCATATTGAAAGCCAAATAACCGGAGATAGCGGTATGGAGAAGAGCATTCAATAAACTACTCCCTTCTCCTCTGAAACCGTTCTCCACATCCACTTGTGAGCAGCAGGGAATACAGCTGTGTGTCTTTGTGCCAGCCTTCCACCAGAGCACAGCCCAAGGAAACACGCGAGATGTGGCACAGCATCAGACTGTGGCTTGCCCACTTGCCAAAACTATTAGCAGCACTGCAGTAGTTATTAAATCTAAGTGCTTCTAGTGTAAAGCTGGTAAAAAAAAAAAACGCACAGCAACAGAAAGTAGAATGCATTCCCAGGGAGGTATCTAGAGCTGAAAGCCAGGGCTCTGAACTGAGGGGGATCCCTAAAGGTAGCTCCAGCAGAGCTCTATCCTGAACCGCCTGGGATTCACTTAACCCCTCTAGTTGTGTTTTGGCTTAACAGTATCACAGACCCAGTCTTCCCTATCGCTCCTGGTTGGAACAAAGGCTGAAACAAAACAGCGTTCAGAATAACACTTCGGGTGCTGTTCTCTCACATTGCAGGGCAAGAGCCACAATAACAAGAACCAAACTTTTCTTTTCAGCTTTGAATACATCAAGGATTTATACCCAAATGGTAGCTTGTTTGTGGTAACCAGGGTAATGAGTGTCAACACGCCACAGCCAGTACTTACTTACCTAGGTCTTATTTACGCATCTCAGTAGATTCAGCAGTTACTGTTATTTACTCAACTTTAGGTGTTTCAGGTGATAGCAGGGGCTAGACAAAGCAGGACAATGATATATGACACCCAGCCTACATGGATGCCCTAGCAACAGGCGAGCCTTCACCTGCCTTTTGCTGATACTGTTTCAGTCCCGCCAGCACTGTTTGTTCTCCATCCCAAAGAACAGCACAGCGTGATGGGGAGGGCAAATGAGGTGGGGCTGTGGGGGAGGGCAAATGAGGTGGGGCTGTGGGGGAGGGCAATACCTAAACAAACATAAACTTGGCATGCACATAAAATGCTATCTGTGAGCTGAAGATGGGCTGGGTGATTCAGGAGCTGTTTGGCAGCAAGGCATCTACAGGCTGTGCATGTGTCAGCAGTGTTTATTTTTGGGAGTGATGGGGTACATGCATCCAGCAGTACGTACGTATGCCTATAGGTTGGGCTTGCTGTGCAATAAACATACGTTTAGCCAGCACTCTGCATTTGCCTATGTAGATACAGGCAGCATGATGGGCTGGTGTAGCTGGATGTGTTCGTGTGGATGTATATGGTTATACCAATATGTAAATGCATGTCTCCTTCTCTGTACATCTCTGTGCTTTTTACGTTGCATATGTATATATATAGAGCAGGTGCAGAAAGCACTGGCCTGCTTTAAGGGTTGTGAATGTTTGAACAAACACACACGCGATAGATTTTTTTAATATGTATGTTTATGCGTGTATAAATCTATACGTGTGTATGGGTGGGGAGGGAGAGAGAGAGAGAGAGAGAGATGAAAAAATATGTACGTATGTAAGTAAAGGTGGATGGGTATAGATAGATGATCAATGAGTAAAACTGAGCCCGTCTGTAGGTCTGTACCTCTATGTGTATAAGGGTATGGCCAAGGGATGATGGAGAACAGACAGAACCTGATTATTGATATAGCTGTGTTTTAACTGCAACAAGCCATTATTTATCAGCTATAGAATGTAGCTGTTTAGGATTGTCTGTTAATGATGAGCTACACAAACTCCCAGCATGCATGGCACTATCCATGAGGAGCAAAATGTGTCAAGTGCTGTATGCCAGAACTCATATAAATCGCTTGTTGTTTAGTAGCTGCCCCTATTACACAACAAACTTGGAGTGGCAGTAAACACTTCTTGGCTCATTTCTATCTGACCAGAGAGCATACGCTGTCCAGAGCTAGAGCTTTTAAGAGACTGCTTTTCTGAGAGCACAGTTAAAGGAAAAAAAGAGAAAAAGAACTTTTCGTTTCTAATCTAATTATGAGCGTGTATTTTCGATTGTAACTTCTACGATACAGTTAAATGTCTTGGTTTTGTTCTCTTTGTAAAGGAAAGGGTGCTAGCTAAGACTGGAGAGCATTAGGCACCTCTAGATGTAATGATAATGTTCCTTTCTTTATAACAAAACAAAGAGGGATGGGACTAGTCTGCAGCTCAGGCTCACGTCTTAAATCTTTGTACACTGTAATCCTCTCTTGCAGTTGCTCAGCAGGCAAAAGATCATGTTTTCTTTCATTCAGGACCGTTCCTGAAGAACCCGTGACTGTTGATAATCTTCAATCCACCAGAAATCCATGTAGCAGCAGCCTTGTCCCATCTCCATATCATCTTCCCTACAGTCCCTTTCCTCTTGGTACCTTTCATGTACTACATACAATGGTTTTGTGTCTGTAGGTTGCAAATACAACCAGGTGAACAGCCACTTCCACTGCATTCGAGAGGGCTGCCAGTTCTCCTTCCTGCTCAAGCACCAAATGACATCCCACGCCAGAAAGCACATGAGAAGGATGCTGGGGAAGAACTTTGATCGTGTTCCTACTCAGGTGACTCACTGGTTATTTAAGCTGTAGATCCGCATGTAGTGTTGGTCCCTTTGGTTGCTTGCTGCAGAACTGCTTTAGTGCCAAGACACTCGTACCCAAACTCCTAAGGATATCTGTCGGGGTTGCAACTGGGATATGTGAGTTCACCCAAGCTAGCTTCACCTGGTTGGACTTCTACGCTATGAGGAAAGATAATGCTTTGATGTCTATGCTTCATCACTTAACTTAGTGTAAACAGCTTTTCCTTGTGAATTATTGAGAAAGAAAAATTGAGAAGGATAACACTAAAATACATTTACAGCTTGCACTCCCTCCGTGCTTTCTCAATATACACCAATTGGCTTATTAAAATTAAAGTGCTTAGGATGTGGAAGAATTGAACGTGCTGGTTAAAGCAAACATTTCCTGTTGCACATAAGGCATTATTTGTTGCTTCCACCTCGGATGGGAGAAATACCAGTCTCGAAATTTCTCTTCCCTTACTGATTTGGAGTTAGTTTGGGGCACTCCTTGTCCTCCCTCAGGAAGTAGCAGAGCGATGCAGTTGCTTCTTTTCTAACACATAACTGAGAGCAACTGGCAGATTAGGTTTGTCTGTTTCATGAATAAATTGAAAAGTTTCAACTGCTGCACTGAGCTCCTGCTCAGAATGGCAGCAGTCCTGCAGCCTCCTGCTCCTTCTTCTTATTCCCTAATCGCTTTAACTTCCATTGACTTGGGAGATGAAACAAGCTAGCTTTATTTAAATGCCTGTGACTGATCTGACCCGAAGGACATCTTCTGGTATATGAAAAACAAAAGGGGTCATCTGTAGAAGCAAGATGGGAACCCCCTTTCATTCCACAGCATGGGAATGAGAGGTCCCTATTCGTTATTAAGTACTGTCAATAAGTTAATTGTTCAAGTCTACTGCTGTTGGATTTAATGAGTTCACAGATGCCAAGGAACTGGTGTTACTGTTGTGGTAGCTTTTGTTCTGAACACGAAAACCTTAGGTACAAGAATCAAAGTTAGGAGAGATTTAACAAATAGATTTGTCTTCACTACTCTTCTAGTACATGCTGAGTCTAGCCCTAAGAATTTTAGCACATGCTGAGCAGAAAATGATAGTTTTGACCTCCATCTCCTTTCACTGGCAATCCTGTGTCACTTCAGCAGTGGAGAAGTAGTAATCATGGCGTGAGCGATCTTGGGAGCATACAGTGCTAGTCTTACTCCGTTGCTGTGCTGAGCCCATGGAGCAGTCCAGCGAACAACAAAACAAGGAGGAAGCCACAAATCAGGGCATGTGGCAAAGCTAACCAGATTGCTGTACTGCCACTGCCTTTCTGCATTTAAATGTACGAACTCCAGTTTTTCCCATTCCTTAGTGCTCAGTAGGCACTTAGTGGTGTGTTTGAATGTACGTTGCTTCTGGGTACCTACCCATGTAACTATCCAGAGAAGACCATGGCATGCCAGGCCACAACAAGCTGCATGTGAACAGAGCATACACATACACATACGTCACTGGTTTCAGTCTCTATTCCCCTGTTGCAATGTCTCAGCATGCAGGCACTAGGACAGTCATGTCAGTAGTCATATTTCCAGTCTCTAAATGCAGCAGGACCTACACGGTAAGGTAGTAATGCCAAGATTAACACCTCCTGTTTTTGAATGCATCAGAATCCACACACCAGGATACCGGTGCCAAGATTAACACTCCCAGCCTCTGAGCACATCACAATTCACATACCAGGATACATGTGCCAAATTTAATGCTCTGAGCTCCCAGTGAAGGAAGATTCACGCTCCTAGCCACAGTGCCACGGGTTCCGCTCACGAGCATGTTCCAGCTATCCCTCATGAACTGTGGCAGAGAGAAATAAACGTGCAGACAGATGGTTTTGGTCTTGGCATCTTGCTTTTGGTGTGAAAGTCCCCATCCTGTTTTCTTGCTGCAGGTTATTGGCCACACTCCAAGAAATGAGAATCTCCCCCAGGTTGGCAGCATGGCACCCAGCCCAGCCTCATCAGGAACCCCAGCTTCCTTTCAGGGACCCCCGAGCATGATGGACACTGAAACAGATGAGTACATGGATTATACTGGCTGTAGCCCTGGGGGTATCTCCTCTGAATCTTCCAATATGGACCGCAGCTGCTCCAGCACTCCAGTGGGCAATGAAAGTACATCAGCAGGTAAGAGAGAAGCAGGGGGGTGAAATGGATCATCAGTTGCCTGCTCTCTTGGGAGATAAACTCATGAAGAGAGGCCAAAGGACAACTGCACCTTAAAATATAAACTGTACCAGCTTCACAATAGTGCCTCGTACTAACCTAGCTCCCTCCATCATTTGTGATAAGAGATCCATCAAAATGTGCACCTCAAGTATTCATGAACTAACAGCGTATATTTTTTTCTCCCCTGAAGAGAGGTTTTTATCCTGTGTCTTGGAGTTGGATCTATTTTAATAACCAATTTAAAAAAACAAAAGTCGTGGGCCTGTTCTGTACTTGGCATTTCCCCTGGTATCTTTTTGTATTTCCTCGTGCAGCATCTGAAGTCAGGCACTTTCCTATACTATTGAGGTACAGAAAGACTGTACAATAGCAAATATTATACACACAGGGGAAAAAAAACCTACCACATCTTCAGAAATCAACATATAAAAGCAGCTCACTGAGCTCCCTTCCTCATGCAAAAACTCTTGTTCCACTTTGTGTAGTGTTGCATGGAGACCTCCATCATCCCCTCTTTTTGGAAGTAAGTTTCTGCCATTGTTTCCTGTTTGCCATGATAATGTGTAGCCATCTCCCACTGCCCTGTATTACAGGGTTATCTTTTCAGTAGTCAGGTATCTCTCCTGAATTCTGTTATCATCTAGTGGTGATCCAGGGATCTCATAGCTGTCCCCTTCCCAGGGTTAAATGTTACATTCTAGATAGGCTGCCTCACTGAGTTTGCTTTAATTTCGTACACATTTTCCTACTTTTCTTTCCCACACCAGTTAGATGAAGGTTATCATATAGCACATCTAACCATACGTTGTATGAACACTGCTGGGTCATGACAGTGGTTGCCGCATGACATTAAAGCTCCTCCAAAGGGTTCTGGTGGTTCCTGGCACTCTCTCCTTCGTCAGTACACCGTCTGGCCCAAGTGACGCTTCCTAGGAAATGGCCCCCCCACTGCTATCCAGGTAGCGAGCAACTCCACCCGCCCAAAGTGTAAGACCACCCTTACAGCTATTGGTTGGTACAAGCTGGCACCATATAGATGAACAAGGGCCAAACAAGCAGGAATTTCCGCATGAAAGCCTGTGGCTCTTCCCCCATGCCACTAAAGCCACCTTACCTTCTGCAGAGACAACCCTCCTCTTCCTGATGCTGTCAGTTCCTCGCCTTCTGTTTCTTCTCTGTTATAGTTCTGTTTCATACATTTGTGAATGTATTTTCCATTTTCATCATATTGCTTCTGCTCTTGGGTTCTCATTTCAGTTCTTTTGTTTTTTGTTTTGTTTTGCTTTTGTTGTTTTGGTTTTTTTTTTCCTTTTTTTTCTGCTTTTTTTCTCTCCACGTTCTCCAGGCTGCCTGGTTCCTTCTACTGCTACTGCTGCTGCCGATGATGCTACCCACAATGCACCACAACCTCAACCACCATCTCTGCCTCCATCTTTCTCACAAGCCCTGCTTAGGTCTCCCCTTCCCACCCTCCCCTATCTTTTCTCTCCATCTTGTCTCTCATACTCTCTGCTCAGTGCCACTCTTGGATCCAGCAGAGGCATTGTCATGCCTGCCGCCAGCACCACTGGGTTTTCGCCCATCATTGCCACTCCAACTCCAGTAAAAAGTGACGTTCCCTTAGTTCAGGATGCAGCAGGTAACACTTCTTTGCTTTCTCTCTTAGTGTCCTGTGCCCACCTCCTTCCCCACTCACCCTGGCCACTTTTTTTTCTCTGCACCTTTGGGTCAGTAAAAAAAAGCATACGACACTCTGTGTCTTATTTAATTTAATTTAATTTTATCCGAGGACCCATCCATGCCTACTCCTTTTGTCTGCTGACACAGTAACCAACCTACAAAGGATAACCAAAACCACAGCAAATCATTGAGAGACATTTGGATACCTGAGAGCAATTTCCACCAATTCCAAACTATAAGAAAAATCTAACAAAATCCATAGTTAAAATGCGCTTTCAGCCTCTTGATAACAGCAGGGTGGCCACAAAGCAAACTTTTGCTCATGTAGCATTAATGGGACTTGGAATTCTTGTTTAGATCTTCCAGGCCACCCAAGCCAGTGCCTACCATAGTCTGCTGCACACATCTCAGCAGGTAAATGTCTGACAAGGTACTCAGTTCCCGTGTTTTTATAGATCTTGTAAGCCTCACTGCTTCCTATTCATATACGAAGCCATAAAATTCGGGGCTGTTTTCCCCAGCGCCAGTAACAGAGTGAAGTACAGTCAGTGTCACTACAATGACATCATCAGACAGCTCAGGCTGTTTCTCACACTCACTGTTATTTACATCTGCTCTTAACAGCTGCAGAAAATACATCTAGATTATTAGTTTTAAGCTGCCACGTTTCCCATGTGTGACTAAGATCAGAGATGTCTCAGGCTGGAGATTCTCATTCCAGCTGGGAATGTTTTTCAGGGTGTGTCTCAGTTTTGGCTTCTTTTCCCAACTCCCAGCTCTTTTCTAGTTAATTAAAGGCATATTTGTGCTTAAAGTTCACACTTAAGAGGATTCTGGCAGCCTACAAATGTCCCAGTCATTCTTCCTGCCAGTTTTAGTAATGCGCAAATCCAAGGTAAATGGTTGGGAGTATGGCTGGAGGACCAACTCCACTGGGACGTTCACAGGTTTTTCTCATGGGACTTGGCAGGAGAAGGATCCTTGCCTTGTCCGGAGGAGTGTGTTCCAACGAACAAAATTCACAAGAAACTACATTTTTGCTGCTTCTTTTTTTTTTTTTTTAACTGATTTGCATGCAACCTAAACATCTTAACCTTGTGCTGTGCTTTCCTCTAATTATATATTTTTAAGTTTCTTTTCTTTTTACCTTTGTATAGTTTCATGAATGTTTACATTATTAGTAGTTGAAAAGACAAGTTTATGGCATGCACTTACCATTGGGATACATCTGTCGAGACTTGTAATCTTCAGTTGGGTGCTAGGGACTGAACGTTGTCTGGTGGCTAAAGGAGGAGAGTGTATCAGGTTGTCACCTCTTTCATACCCTTGCTCTGAAACTTTGCCTGTATGAGAAAACAAAATTGGTTTAACTAAAGGTTTAAGCACATCTGTTTGAACTGTTGTAAAAGCTGGGCAGATACATTGAGTTTAAAACAGGTAAAATCTAAATCCCACTTATTTCCCGGATTTCCCATCCAGAGTGTTTCCCCTAAGACGGCTTATCCCGTATTCCTGTCTGAAGGCAGACAAGATGAGCATTCGTACTAATGATAAAAGACTTGATGGTTTGGCTGTAATTTGTTTTAAACGAAGGAGTAAGGAGTTGATTTGGATAGCAACGATTTGTCCAGGCAACGATGCACTTACACTAGTTGCCTGGAAGCGGAGAACGAGATTTTACAATACCAGATGTTTGGGGGGGAGCAGAGAGTAATTGGTCACAGATTCTATAGCTAAGAGCTTGCTAATTTAAAATCTACAGTGACAGAAAGTTATTCTTTCATTGGTAGCTGGTTAAATTAGCCGTAACATGCAGTTTCCACCAGCTACGTGTCACTAAGATGGTCTCACCATGGGTGCCCCAAGCTGGTGTCCCTTTTTGCAGTCTGAGCTAAAGTGCCATGTCACAAATGGCTGTGGAAAAATCTTTTGTTCTTTGCTTATCCTGCAATCTGTATAGCCCAGGCACGCGAACCATGCGGGAGATGAGGTTGCTGCTACCATTGCCATTAACTTGTATCTTGTATCAGTGCCAGTTTAACTTTTGGAGACTTCCTTCAATGATCGCCACCTTCTTTTAAAGGGTTGTCATTTCAAGGGCCAGAGATGGCAAACATAGCATTCATCACTTTTAATACCTTCTTATCAGCCAGAAAAAAAAAAATAATTCTACAACAGTCAAACAGATGACTGTTTCTTCAGTCTCCTAGACAAGGATGCAGGCTGCTCTGGATTCTCAGGCCCCAGGCACTGCATGTCACAAATCATGCCTCTTTTTAAGAGGATGGCAGTTTCAGCATGAAGAGAGGCAAAAAAAAAAAAAAGTATGTTTTAGTTGCAAGCTGTAATTTCCAATTACACTCACAATTCTGCACCTGGTGAGAAATTCTTGCCTCCAACCTTGTCTGTGCTGCATGTTGATACTGGAGACTGTGGTTTGATTCTGGAAATAGCAAGCAGAGAAGAAAAAAAAGTTAATAGATATAATGAGGTCGAGTCCTTGATGTCAGCTTGATCCTAGGGGACGTGAGCACTAGCCAGTTATGCTGGCCCTGCGAATGAAAGTGGAAGATAGATGAGGGCTCTTTATTTACTAGGGGCATCATGTGATTTTTGAGACCCAAGGGAAAGCTGTAGAACTGGTATTTTCTCTCAGAGTCCACTGGCTAGTGATGATGAGAATTAGCCCCATTGAACATCTGTCCATCTGTCTTTCTAAGTGCACTCATCGTAATATGTAGGCTCATTACAGTGAGGGATGTTGCAGTCTCCTGGCCAAAGTCCATCCTATTTCTATAAATTCCCCCCCTTGCAGTTTTAATCACGCATGGGATCTTCCCTCACTTCCTGCCTGTCCTTGGCAATTGTAGTGTATCACAAGAGCCTGGATAGGGGAAAATAGTATACACGTACCAGTTTTCAGCATGCTTAAACTCCTTTACCACTTCCACCCCAGTGAACTATAGTAAAACACCTCCCCTTGGATTGGAACAAGCCGGCTCCTCTGTGTTAAAGTCTGATTTGAGGAAAATAGAACTAGAGAATAACTAAGCAGCAGGAGAAACAGAGTAGCAAAACGGAGAAGCAACAGTTAGCGTTTGGACAATATCAATATACAAGAGCAGCAGTTAGAGGCAAGGTGGGATATGCTGAAAATTGAGGAAGCCATGTCCAGCAGGCATCAGCCAGCTCACCATCCCAGAGTTCAGGCTTACTTAGAGCTTGAGGGATGAGCTGCTGGGTGGGAACAGTTGCAGCATTGTGTCTTGGCAAATACAGAGCTTGCCAGGACGGTTAGGAGATGAAGAGAGACGTGGCTGTCAGCAACACCGCTCTTTGCTTTTTCTCCTCAGGGAATACCATCACTATGCCAACTGCCTCGGGGGCCAAAAAGCGTTTCTGGATTATTGAGGACATGTCCCCATTTGGCAAGCGCCGCAAGACCGCATCCTCACGCAAGATGCTGGATGAAGGGATGATGCTGGAGGGATTTCGGCGCTATGACCTCTACGAGGACTGCAAGGACTCCAGCTGCCAATTCTCTCTCAAGGTTACCCACTACCACTGCACGCGGGAGAATTGTGGCTACAAGTTCTGTGGCCGTACCCACATGTATAAGCACGCCCAGCATCATGATCGTGTTGACAACCTGGTATTGGATGATTTCAAACGCTTCAAGTCTTCACTGAGTTGCAACTTCCCAGACTGTCAGTTCTCTGGCAATAGCACACACTTCCACTGTCTGCGTTGTGGCTTCCGCTGCACTGACAGCACTAAGGTGACAGCCCACCGTAAGCACCATGGCAAGCAGGATGTCATCAGTGCTGCTGGCTTCTGCCAGTTCAGCTCAAGCGTGGACTGCGAGGTGCCTGACTGCAAGTACAAACTCAAGTGCTCCCACTTCCATTGCACCTATCCTGGCTGCAAACACACAGTGGTGGGCATGTCACAGATGGACTCGCACAAGCGCAAACATGAGAAGCAGGAGCGAGGGGAGCTTCCTGCCATCTCTCCTGGCCCTGAGGGCCTTGCCCACTCCACTCTCGAGTATGACATCCAGAACTCTTCCATCAACCTGGACAGTTCCCTCAACCTCAGCACCGACAACAACAGCTCCCTCTTCTTCCTGCAGAATGCGGCTGGGGTGGGCCTCAATGATTCCCTGGACCTCAGCAAGAAGCAGTCAGAAGTCACTGAAGGTCCATCACCGAGCAGAGCTGGGACCGCACCTCAGGAGAGGGGGGCGGTGGCATCTGGCTCTGGTGATGTGGAGGACGAGGATGACTCTTCCCAAGAGGATGAAGAGGATGATGAGGAGGAGATGAATGAAGAAGAGGAGGAGGATGATGAGGAGGATGATGATGACGATGAGGAGGAGGATGATGAAGAGGAAGACCTGAACACAGATTCTGAAGAATCGCTGCCTGACCCTGAGGGCCTGGCCACTAAAGAAGATGGAGAACCAGAGGAGGCTGCTTCTTCCACAGATCACGGTGATGCTTCCAGGCCACAGGGTGAGCCAGCCCTCACTCCAGCCCCAACTCCTGCTCCAGCTGCTGCCCCAGCCTCCACCGTTGCTCCAGCAGCTTCTCCTTAATCTTAGAGACGACAGCGGCAGTGGTTTGGTTTTGCTCTTACACAGAATTACTAAGAGGACCCCATATGAGGCAAGAACAAAGATTGGGATGGCAAGTGAAAAAACAAACTCCGTGCCACACACACGAGAGAGAGAGGAAGGAAGGAAACCCATGCTCCTCCACAGGCCCCATGAGAGAGACAGGCTCGCAGCAGGACTGGTGCTGCATCACTTCATTCTGCAGATCACAGAACATGGGGGCAGGATGCAGCAAAAAAATACCCTTTTATACGGACATGAACCTTGAGGGTACCAGCTGCTTTTCCCTGCTCCACGCACGGTGCGTGGGGCCTGTGCCCATCTGGGGACCCTTTGTTATGGGTGGGGCTCTATCCCCCCATTTTTCTTTCTGGGTTTTATTTTTCCATGTTTTCAGTTGTACGATATTAATAATAATCTCCACTTCTTGGAGGGGGGTGGGTGGGAACAACAGGTAATGAATTTTAGAAATATATATTTGTGTGTGTGTCTCTCTCTATATATATAATGTACACACACACACACATATATAAAATTCAAGGAATTGGTGTCACAAAGACAACTAGCTCAGCTTTTGCCAGTGGGAAGGAGGGGGTGAGGGGTGCGCGCTCGCTCTCTCTCTCCACCCCTCCCCCCTTCTTTCTCCAGCATTAAATGAATGGCATCAGACAGCAAGGGTGGGAGTGGGTATTTATTGTCGCATAAATGAGGACGCATTAATGAATGAGCAGGGGTGGGAATGGGACACTCCTCTGTTCTTCCAGATCCTTTTTACTATTAATGATGATAATTTTGAATGCTATTTATATTGTAAAACTTTCTCAGTCTACACTTTCTCTGTAGGACACCTCTCCTCATCCCTGCTGTTCTGCCTGTAGGGATTTAGCTGAAGTAACTTGGGAAGAACACAGCGGGCAGTTCAAGGGTCTGTCACACTGGAGGACTGGGGTTAATCTCCCATCCAGTTCCATCTCATCCCAACCCCCAGGTGCCTCCTCTCTGTTGAGGGTGAGGCGTTTTCGTGGTGCTTCAGTATCCCCATCTCAGGAGGTTGTGAGCTGACACTCT